AAGTTGATCTTATGATTTTGAATTTATAAGAACGTGTAGTATAATGAGGGGGAACACATATGCAATGCACATTATAGGTTCCTCTATATAATATATGTACACGAATTAATAATATTATGATAAATTTAATTTTTTATCGTCATAAATGCATGATGATTCCAATAAAATAAATTTTATTATCTTAAAATTACAATCATGGTCTTTGATAAATGCTACATTGTACGAATGTAGCATTTATACTTTTATATTTTTATAATTTTTATAGTGACCTGACCCCGATCAGTAAAAATTATATTCAATATTAAATAACTTAATATGCAATACCAATAAATATTATACAAGTAATTTTCAAATATTCATAATATTCGATACTAAAGACTAAGAAAAAATAAACTGTAAAATATTAATAAACTGAAATATTTAATATAAATAAAAACTACGGTAGGCTAGTCACCTACCTAGCTAACTCTCTATGACTATAGAAACTAGGGCATGATAGATATCATGCACTAGCCCTATACTCCTCCTAGGAGTGAAGAAGGAAAAAAAAACATTGTACGAATGTGTATGATAACATTATTCTTTTAGAAAAATAAATCCAGAAAAAAAACTAGCAGAAATCTCAAAATTATATGAAATTTCAAAATGTTATTATTAAAATTTATAAGTATCTACATAATAACATTGAACAGAAAATTCAGGGTTAAATTAAAGTTTATAAATCGATAGCTATCTACGATAATATATAATATATTAGTATTATACATAATATCGTATTCAATGATTTCGAGCAAAATATAATTCAAGACTAATAGTTTTTGAATTTAAAATTTTTATTCTAAATAAATTTTATACACATTATATTTCGTGAAGCTCTGATTCGTTAAGCTCTAGTATTATTATATCCAAATTATATAGATGAGATAGAGAAATAGAATCAGAACTAAATAGTCATTTTCAATTTAAAACATTGCAAATTTTAATTTTACAAGTACTACATAAAATCCAATTTCTTGAACTGACTATAAAAAAAATTCCTCTAATTAACAGGGAAAAATTTTAAATTTATTATTTTTATGCAATTACTTAAACGACGAGGAAATACAAGGTCTTATCAATTTTAAATTCAAAAAGAAACGCATCTATATGGTTACTAACAGATACGTTCAGGACTTTTGAATATAAAAATTAATTTATTCTTAATATTAATTGATATTTTATTATCATAGAATTCAATTTATTTCTAACTGCTGTGTTCTTTATTTATTAAATTTTTTAGATATGTACATATTTTCTTATCAACATGATTTGATTCATTTTACAGGAATTATTAATTTATAATGTATCTATAGAAATTTCTATATGTTTAAATAAACTTAATTAAAATCTCCGATATAAAATTGTTTATAAATTTTCGTTATCCATCTTACTATTCAAGATGATGTAAGCATACTGTAACAAGTAAGCATTTATTTAATAGCATTACTTATCTCATTATTACTCATTTAAATTTTTAGAGTTGATATAACATCGATTTCGTAACGGCAGATAACGGTATTGTATACAAAATATATGTTATTTAATATTCTATATATTTTATAAAAATCAACTTTAAAAAGGTTCAATTCTTCGGTAAATTTTGCAGTTAAAAATTTCACTCAAGGTCCACAATATTATGCATTCCATAAATATTTTTAAAATTTTTAAGGTTTGTTTCCTCGGAAAATCAACTTCTTCAATTGCAACAAAATATGTTTTTGGTGAATGTCTCGGATTAAATTGAAATATGTGGATCCATAATTTGTTCCAAAAACAAGTTCCATATTATATTAATTGCAAAATGATAAGTTTCATATATTATATCGATAAAACTACGACTATTTTAGGTTTATTTCCATGATATAAAAAAAATTAGGGGCGATTTTGAAATCAAATTAAATTCACATATTGAGTTGTCTTATTGATTCCATGAATTATTTTGAATTTACTTAATTTTACTACGTTATTAAAATAAAATGAGACATTTTAAATAATAAAGCAATTAATATGAGAAAATATTATCATTTCCATATTTAATTTTCATAATGACGAAATTAGGAAAAAATTTGGAAATAAAATTTTGGTACTTCTTATTTAAACTATGTGTGTTCAATAACTTTTCTGTTTATTATTAATTATTCTTTAAAAATATATTCAGGCTATCTTTAATGAACATTTTCCATCCACAAGTTTTTGTGAACATTCAAAATTTTTTTTATCAAAAATAATCTTAAAAACAAGCTTTCAATCGAAAATTTTGTCTGTCACTTCTTTCACGCAAAAAACTATGCTGTCATAATCATAATATGGAAGTTAAGACAATCTCATTTTTACAGCCAATAAATAAAAAGTTACAAATTCTTTTTCAATATGACTGTATTTCATTTTGCAGGTTTAAAACACAACAGAAACAGATGTTTTTTTTGCCGATCCCGATTTTGTCTCTTAGATTTTAGTACTTTTTCTATAGTATAGCTCAAAAATTCATACTAATTCATAATTTGTTGATGATTGATTAACAATATTACATTATATATAAATTGAATAAAAAAATTAATACAAGTATTTAGTTTATATTTTTTTTTTTATTAAAACAACCAAAATGAAAAAGAACTTTAGTGAGGGAAACAAAAAGTAAACCATAACTATAAATTTTATATTATTATACTTTTTGTTCTCGATATTAAATTTATTATTATTTGTAAAGAATAATTTTTTAAGAAAAAAAAACAAAAGTTCTTCTACTCTTTTTATATAATATAATCAAATCTTTAATCATTTTCATTTAAATTATATAGTTTTATAATTTAATTATAAATTATATGATAATATATTAATTATTTATTTTTAATTTCATTTTTTTTTTTGTTTGCTTTTCAATTTACAATTTTGATAGAAAGGATTTTTGTGTTTATTAATAGTATTTCATTTATTTCTAAAATTTTTTAATATATACTTTAATTTTTAATTTAATTAGTATTATAATAATATACAAATTTTATTTCATTTATAAGGTTTAATAATATTGTAATAATAATAATAATCAATCATAAATTTTCATCATTTTTTGTTTTTAATTTTAATAAATCTTATAAGTTATCATCAGTTAGCATGGTTTTTGATGTTTTACCCTTTTTATATTTTTAATTTAATTTAATTTTAAGTTAATCAAATTATCTTGTAGGTATCAAATTTTGTTTTATTTAAAATGTTATTTTTATAAATTTAATAATAATATGTTAAAATGATAGTTGATTAGATATTTTACATAAATTTTTTTTTTCTTTTTGTTTCAAAATCAATTAAAATCACATTTTAAAAATAATAATTAATTAATACATTTTAAAATTTTTTTAAAAAATAAAATTAAGTTTGAATGATTAGAGATGACGAAAATTGTTATTAAAAATTGGTTAGAAAACAAAGAAAACAAGAAACAATATTTAAATTTGAGCTTAGATAATAGTGTTTTTTTGTTTGGTTTGATTTATTTAACTTACTAGTTATAATAGTTCTATAAATAAAATTTTAGGTTGAAAATTATACCTTACATGCTGTATGAAGTATATAATTGGATAAAATAAATATATTCTTGCTAAATTCAAATGTTTATTTATTAAGAATTTCGGAAATTTTGTGTAATTTCTGTTTTAATATTGAATTACTTTTATTTATTGAAAATCATAATGCAAATATATCTGAATTTTTTAAAGACAATTTTAAAATTTGAGAAAACTTTTTTAAAAAAAATTGTTTTTAATATTTAACAACATAAGCAGTTTAGTTGCTGTAATTGTTAAAAAAAAATGTTTAAATTGTTATCAGTAATATAAAAATTAATATAAGATAATTTCCAGAAAAGCTTTTCCATACTTCTTCGTTGTATCTTTAAAATCACTTAAAATTGCTACAGAAGTAAGTACTAAGGAATATTTGGAAATACATAATAATATGCTTAAATTTTGTTTACATAAAATAGATTATTATTAATGAATATTATTTTAAAATGGAAAAAGTATTAAAAAATTGGTTTTTTTTTTTCACAGAATTATACCGGTGTTTTAAATTTTAATAATGGAAACTATCAATTATTGAAAATGAATTATTTTGTAAGACATGAATAGTCCTAAAAGGCAGTATAAATTGTTTTTTTTTTTAAACTTAAATATTATTAAGTATTTTTATGCAAGTATGTATTTATTGGCATTTGTGTTAAAATTTAAAGAAATTGAACACATTTATATTCTGAAAACTCATTAGAATAATATGCTTTACATATTATTAAAGAATTTGTATTTGTTTTGTATTTTAATCATAATTAAAAAAACAAGGAATTTCTGTACAACATGATCCTGAATTTTAATAATTTCCATCTTTTACTTTAATTGTAGTTAACAAATTATAGAATTACATCAAATTTATTTTATAGACTAAATAAATATTGCTAATATTTTTTATTTCACATTGAATTTCTATTTACACAAAATTAAACATTTTTTCTTTTCAAAGAGTTTAACAAGTCAACTTGTAGTGCATTTGAGGACGCTAGTAGTTATTTTGAAAATACAAAAATATATCATTTCTACTTTAATTTGGATTAGTCTCTAAATTCTATTGTTACTTTTGCATTTTGAAAGTAAATAATGAATTATTTCATTATTTTATTTTATTGAAATATTTGAAATTTTTTGCAAAATTTAGTATTTACAATTAAGAAAAAAAAGCTCTTGATATTGTTTTTTTTTTTTAATTTATAACATTTTTTTAACAAAATCCAACCAAAAAAAATCATTCAAACATTACTCATTTTATATTAATTAAAAATTTTATAAATAATTTAGATTGTGTTATAATGTAATTAAATCAAAATTTTACATTATTATTTTTCTTTTTTGTTTTAATTAAAACGCTTGACTTTGTTAAAAATATAGAAGCAAAACAATTGAAATAAGTAAGATTAATTTAATAATAATATTTTCCTTCATGATTTTTTATTTTCAAATATTAAAAATATTTATTTGTTTTTTCTATACATTTCTTTTGTCTTCAACTTAAAATATAAAATAATTTTTAAAAATAAAATATGTATTATATTTTTTATATTAACATTCAAACATTTGTTTTTTAAATTAAAATATCAAGGGGGAAAAAACACAACGAAATATAAAGTGTAAAAACTTCCTCAAGAATAAAAAAAAAAGCATAATAAATAAAATTATCGTTTTTGATCAATAATGATCTCATCACCAGATTGTATATTATAACTATATAATCTTTTATGAGGGTATTTCATTTCCTCGGGTCCTTGATGATCTCTTAAATCTTGATCAACATAATATAAACGCATCTTATTATGTGGTATGCCAACAATACGTTCCAATCGCATTTTCAAATCGATTACAGTTCTAAAATTAAAAATAAAATAAAATTTAAATAAATAAATTATTAAAATAAATTAATTAAAATTTTTAATTTTTAGCAATATGTTTTTAAATATTTTTCAAGACATCCTTTATTTAATCTGGATATCTTAGATCTTAAAGCTAAAGTGTAAATTTTTTTTAGATTAATTTCTTAGTAAAATATTTTTGTAATTTTTAATCAATAAAATTTCATGTTTAATTCTGTGAAAAAAAGAAGAAGCGGCAAAAAAAAAAATTTATTCATGTTTGAATTCTACTTTGCGAAAAATTTTAGTAGATTTTACAAAGTATGGTAGAAAATTTAATAAAAGGAAATCGAACTCTGAAAAAATTTACATTGCAAATACAACGTGCAAAAGCCCAGTCTCGTTTTCAGCTCTTTTTATCGCTACCTTTTACTGTGGCAGACGCTGCCGATATTTTTATGTATGTTATAGTTCAATTTTTCGGGAATGTTGAAAACTTATTTAGTTTAATAAACTGTAAGCTAGCCAGAATTACAATACCATTTTCTACAATGAACGAATACGAATACAAATGGCAGGATTCAATGCCATTTAAGAAATTTTAAAACAAAGTATTATTAAATAGAAATTATTTCAACTATGATATGATTATAGAATTTCGCTTAATTTTTAAAATAAATCTCATTTGAAAACTAACTTTAGAAAGTAAATTTAACAATTTCTTACATTATTAGAAAACCATAATTTCAAAAATTTTTATTAACTAAGCAGTTAACAAAATAACATTTTTAATCTTCTTAAAATATCAAAACGAAAATTCCAAGAACACGTTCAAAATTTTTTAAATTTTAATTTTCAATTTTCTGAAATAATTTTATTGTAAAAAAAATACTATAATTTATAACTAAGATTTAATTTAAAACAAAATACATAATGTATGCATAAAATTTTCGCGTAAAATTTCAAAAATATTCCAAACACAAATTTTTATAATTTTTAGCTGCTCAAATGCCAAATATACATATTTTCATTTCATAAATATTTTAGCTTTTCAAAATGGATTCATCACTTGAAGGATTTTGGAAAATATTTTTGTTCTATACATGAATAAATTTAGTTATATAATAAATAAAATTGAAATTTACCTGTAAACATCACAACTTCTAACTTCACAAATATCACCATAAGTAAATGTTATTTTAACACGTTTCTCTGGTCTTAAATCAATATTAACCAATGGATCTAATTTACCATGTTTGGCAATTAATTCATTATAACGTGCTGGTCGATCACTTTCTGGTTTATCCATATAATAACGTATAAAAGCTCTTTCAGCATCTTCACGTTCTTCAGTTGTTACAACACCACCATTCAAAGTTTGAACATATGGTAATCTTGCTATTAATAATTGACGTCGTTCATACTCTGTTGAATCGCATTTATCCCAAAGTGGCCAATTCTAAAAATCAAGAAGAAAAAAAAATTATTATTTTGATATAAAAATCAATTTCTATTTTATTTGTTATTTTATACGTTTTTCAAGGTTCATTTATTGTTATTATTTTGTATGAATAAAAATAAAATAAACAAATTAATATATTTTCTTAGAAACAATAATAATGTGTGCGATTTACCTGCACACGAAGATTTTTCAAATTTGGAAATTGTGCTAATCGATCAACATCATCCCACGTATTTATTTTTGTGCTGCTTAAGTTTAAAAATGCTAAATTCCTAACAATATAAATGTAATAAATTGAATTTTATTTAATAATTACTTCATATAAAATAATTTACTTAAAAAATTCATGAGGTGGTGCAACATCTTCATCATCGGTGGTATTTGATGATTTATCACTATTTGATGATGGCGGTCTTGGCACTGCTTCAACAGCTCTAAAAATTAATAAATACATAAATAACATTAATATCTTGAATCAAGAATATTGAAAGAATTTATTGGTAAAAAACTTACTTTAAAGGGCAATTTGCTAATACAAGAGTATCTAAATTTGGAAATACTCTACCCAATCGGCATATCTCTGACCAATCTTGTACTGGATTACCAGTAAAATGTAATTTTCTAACACCACTATGTGCTTCAGTTTTTTTATACATAGAACTTGTTGAATCACTTCTTTTATATGATTCAACATTATTATGTTTATCACAAGCAATCATGGAAGAGCTACCAGGATAAGATGATGCAACTGAATTATCCTTTACATGTGTTGCTGAAGGTAATTTTAATTCTGTCATTTTTGATATCGTTGTTTCAATATTTTGTATATCTGTTCTCGTTATTCCTGCTGTTGTTGTTGATGCTCCTATAGGTATTAATTCTGTACCAGAAATTTTATTTGTTCCATTACAACATAATGTATTTGAATTTAATATTGTATCTGAATTTATTATATTATTTTCGTTGCCATTATTTAAACGTTGTTGTTGTTGTTGGTATTGGTGTGTTTTAATTAATTTACATTGACATAATTCTTCTGGTTTATCATCATCATCATCACCTAATGTTAAATCATCTAAATCTGATGTTATCATCATACCACAATAATCATCATCAATTGTATCAATTAATACATTACGATAATCATTTAAGCTTAAATGCAATTCTTGTAAAGCTGGTACATATTTTAATAAACTTTCAACACTTTCCCAATCTAATCTAGTATTATTTAATACTAAACTTTTTAATTGTTTTAGGCACGTTGTTTGTGGTGGTGCAATAACTGGTCCATTTAATAAATTTTTGCTCAAATTAACAAATTCAATACGTGGCATATGCTCTAGTATACGAAATACTTCATTCCAATTGGCTAATTTATTTTGTGCCAAATCTAATTCCCTTACTGTATGGCATTTCTTTTTAAGATCTTCTTCACTACCAGCACAATCAATATCACAGTCATTAAGGACTAATAATTGGGGAACACTAAAATATTTAAAAAATTAAAAAAAAATTAAATAAAAATTCATTTATTGAAAAATTTTTAATTTCAGCTTAAATTTTACGTTTTATAAATGACAATTAATATTTACCTTACGAGTGGTGGCAGTTTTGGTACAAAAATTGACACAAGTTGTTCTTGAGGATCTGGTGGGCCAGAAAAATCACAGCATCCCACCCCATATTTTTCTTCAATTGCTTCAAGCAGTGATGGCATCTTCGTTGATTTGAAATTTTATTTTTTTATTATATTATTAATTTTGATTGAATTTTTTTAATTTTTTCTTTTTTAATATTTATTAATTTAAAATCAAAAGATTTTATGTCCAGTTTTTGTTTTTGAAAGCTCTGTAAAAAAAATTAAATAAAAATAAAAAATTAATAAAAAAGAACATTTAATTTAAAATTTTTGACAATTTAATAAAAAAACAAAAAAAATAAATGTCATATTATTGTGAATGGAGCAAGAGTTCTTCGATCAAATTTAATTTAAATTAGAATAGCCCTAAGGAATTGACTCAAAAAAACGTATAATATTTTTTAATTTTCCTATACAATAGCTAATTATTTATCAAGGAATTTTTTTCCAAAACTTTTACTTAGATTCTGGTTTACTCAGAATTGTATGATATTAATCTACTATATGTTTTGTACGGTGATGTTTTGGGCCTCTCATTATATTCTGCACCCTAGAAAAGGTTATATTATAATATAATATTATTAACATTAGTATAGAATTCGTAACGACTTAAATGAATCGTCTCAAGTATGAGCAACAATATCGCCTTCAGTATGAACACGTTAACTCCTGCACTGTTTTAAATTTTGCAAACGGTTATCTAATTACATTGTAAATATTAGAATAATGGCAACAGTGGTTCGTGTAGCTGCCATACAACCATAAAGACAATTTTAAATTAAATTAATTTTTATAGTCAGGTTTCCAAGCTATAGAGTTTAATTCAGTCGGTTAAGATCGATTGAAACGTTTTTATTTGTTTTAATATCAAGTACGTTGTAAAAGTATAATGTGTTTCACAATGTCTATATGGCTCTTCTATATTTGAGGTCATGAATAACAAAATAACAATAATCGAACAAAGGCTATAAGTTCAATATTGAAATACGTATATGTTAAGAAAAAGTTAATGAACAGTGTCTATAAGTTATAATTGAAGCCTGTAAATAATCAAAAATTTGTAATTTTATATGAGACAACGTAATGCTAAGTTACGCATATTGCTGTTATACACGTAAATTAAATTAATTCATTTTTATATTTTTAAATATCGTGTTATATCGTATATTTATAATTTTATAATTTCTCAATTAGTAACACTAATTGAATATCAAAAAAGTCATATTAAATTAATTTTAAATATTTTTATAATATACAAGTGCGAGTTAACCATAAAAATATTAAATTAATTTTAACCACACAACAAGTTTTTATTAAAATATAAAAAAATCAATGAAATGACATAATTGAAATTAAATCAAATAATAATAATAATAATATTTTTTTCAATTAAACATATTTAAGGCGGAATTTTTAATTTTTTACTACAATACTCTAATAGAATTCAAATAAGATAAAAACTAATGTATGTATGTAAGATTATAAGTATATAGTAAATTTTATTTAAATAAAAAAAAATTAATAATATTCTTTAAATTTTTATAAATCATTTGCTATAAGTTAGCAGAACATCTTCTCTGTGTATGGAAAATTCAAGGACATTTTGATAATTAAAATTCAATTAAAAATTATTTCTTTTCTTTTTTGCAATTTCTTTTTAAATAGAAATATTCATAAGCGTACTACACACAAATATATTTTAAATATAATATACATATATGATTTACATAGTATATACCAACATGTATTTTATTTTGTTCAAGTTCATTCGGAATAATTTATTTTAAATAATATTTAATTAATAATGAAAAAAATTAAACATGTTATTCATAAATTCAAAATAATGAAGTAATATTTAAATTATTTTAATAATAAAATTAAAAATATTTAATAAAAATTCGTAATAGCTAGCCAGCTAGAGTATGGTAATAGTCTAATTCTAATAATAAATTAAAATATTGCTAAGTTTTGCAATATTATAGTTCGGTTTTGTAGAACGAAAATAAAATCATTTTAACCACATTATTTTTTTTTTCAAATTTTAACCACAAATTTTAAATAATTATTAATTAAAAATATTTTAAAGAAATAATTATTTATTACATTTTAAGTATTTTTTTTGTAATTTAAGATAAAATACTACAGCTACTTTAGATACGAGTATAGTATTGTATTTCGATTGAATTGAAAATGTAAGTTCATTTTCAGTCATTATTGTGACTATCACTCTGCAAATTGTGGTTGGAACGAACATTGGGAAACGAAAATTCTAAGATAATAATAAAATTTCTAAAACGTTTTTATAGAAGATTACAAAAGTTTCAGTCCAAAAACTACATTATTGAAGACCTTCTTTGAAAAAGAGATAGGTTGAATTATTTTAACAATTTTGATTTACTGAAAATTCGGCGATTATTTTCATCTTTTCAATGTAATACGGTCTTTGTAATTTTGTTATTCGATAAATTGAACATGGTTAACTATTTTACAAAATTTTGTTTTAAATATAGTGGATTTGGAAGTTAAAGCTTTTGGATTTGTACACTTTCTACCTGTGGATATAAAAAAGCAAACAAAATCAGATCCGAGTATATACACATTTAATGCTTATTAACGCTTAATAGCAATTGAGGAATAAATTTTAAAAGCAAAAGACAAGATTTACAAATTATGAGCAGAAAATTTTTCTTAGGAGAAGTAGACAACAATTCACGTATAATTTAATTTATCATCTACATACCATGCAAAATCTTAGGACATATAGTAAAGTTATAAGGCAAAGAAGGAAATATTTAAAAGTTAATATTAATAGATTAGATTAAATGAGAATTAACTGGTTGAATATTGATTGTTTTTAGTGAATAAAAATATAATTTGCAATTTTAACTTTTTTCCGAAAAAAATTTCTTAATTAAATTTTGACGAAAAATCCTTGATTTTGCATTTATGTTTTGATCAATTTCTTTAAAAAATTTTTCTCATCTACTCAGAAAATATGAAAACAAAAAAATTCCTTTTTTAATTGAATTCTTTTGTTCTTTATGAAATTGAATTTAAAATATGAAATTAAAAGCCATAAAAATACTTTCAAAAAAATTTTATAAATTATTTTCTAAAGGATATTTTTATAAAAAACAAAAATTTTTATCCTTGATTGCGCCCAATTAAATGTATTTTTAAAAGATTTTCAAATAAAAGAAAAATTCTTTGCAGTTCCACTTAATTTACACTTTTATGATGGGAGCACACAATGAAAAATTGATTTGGAATTCAAATAATAATAAATTTTAATAAAAGTTGAGGATTATTTTACGAGTATTATGAGTTTTATAGTCTATTTTAAATGTAAACAAAAAATATAATTTAAATATTTTTTTTTGTATGGAAAATAGAAAATGAGACTTCAATTTTCCTAGAGAAATTAAGGAGGTATAGAATATTAAGCAATTCAATGAAAAATAATAAACTCCAGTTGTATAATGTACAAATCTTGGTATAATTTTATAAAAATTTTACTAATATTATTGTGATTAGACTACAATCATATTATGTTAAATCTATAATATTTTATTGTTCTCGGCACCCAATGCCCTGTATATTATAAACAATTCTAATGAAATAAAATTCATAATAGAAAGGAAGGTTTAATAAAAATATATTAAATAGCTTTAAATATAATATTTTGTTAGATATTTTTGAAAGTATGTGTACATAGTACCCTACAAATAAGTGTTTGACAGAATGAGAATAGGCAAATATGAAGTAAATATCCGTTTACCGTAATTTTCATTTACATAAATCATTTTCAAATATATCCATTTATATATTTCAGAATAACCATTCATTTTAGATTTTTGATGCACTTTTTTGATCCTCTTTCTGTGGCAAACTGATGTTTCAAATGGTTATTTTAAGCTCTTAACAAAAAATTTTGGTTTAATTTTCAATAATTTAATAAATTTACTTCTATTCTATTATGCACAATAAAATTACATTAATTGTAATGCAAACATCTTATATACTAAGAATAATGATCCACGTGTAAAGAGTAAAATAAGTGCAACTCATACAAGAACAAAAATTCATACAATATATGCAAGGCTAAACAAAATATGTATATAATTAAATTTTATTGATGTCGCGTATATAAGCATACGTGTATGCACAACACTATATACATATAAATATAAACACAATATAAGTATATTTTATTTTATTTCATTAAGATATTGAATTTTATAAAAATCTTTTTTCGTTTTCTTATTTTAGTATAATTGTATTGACATTTTGGTGGCATAAATTTAAACTAAATTGTTAAACAAGGGAAAATTTTAATTTACAATTAAATTTTTATTTCTTAATTATTCTTTGTGTGTATTACCAATTACATTAATAAATATTTACTTTTGATTTGTGTGGAAATACAAATACAGATGACTAAATAAAGCGCATTATTAAAATAAAATTATAAAATGAAAGTTAATAAAAATAGGTATGACAAATGTGAAAACGTCAAAATGTCGGAGTAATTTTTTAGTAACGGTAAATAGCAAAATAGTAACTGAATATTTATTTACATTTTTCTTTTCTTTTGTTTTACAGCCTTAAGTTATACTTCACGAGCATTTTCCACATAATAATATATTTCATGCAAATTAATTTACACTTAACCCGTTCAATTAAGCGGTTACACTATTGTAATTTTTCTACATGATTAATAAATATATAAATCATATCTGAATTAACTCAACTATATAGAGAACATATTCGAATTAGTACAAGTTTTAATAAAAAACAAATAGGGTGTTCGAAAATTTTAATTGTACTCCCGAAACAGTATTGTAAAATAAGTAAAGGAAATGTTTAATTTTTTCGGTTTACTTCACGATTTTCTTAAAGGCCAATAAAGAAGCTCATCTCCTTGGGTTTCTTACTTGATATTTAAAAAAAAAAATTTATGTTTTTCCTTTTAAATCGGGAAATATTATGAGTTGAACAACCCTTTCAGAACTAGGTGCACATTTGAGTTTTGGCTATTAATAGTAGATAGTAGGATATTTCTAAATCAGTGTTATTTTAAAAATCCATCCAAATTATATTATATTAAATTATTGTCATTTTCACATCTATAATTGTCTCTCAAATTCGCTTGACAGGCTTTTAATTGAATAACAATTTGACAGCCAATACACTACAATACAACAACTAT